CGTTGAAAAACAAATTGACATCACCAATCATGCATTCTGAAAATAGAGAAAACCATGGCAATCTTAGTATCTGTGTAATGAATTAATAACATGATATTATCGGAGCATATACCTGTTACACTGAACATGTAATATAATACAAACTTTGGTCAAGAGTGGCCATGTCCAGTTTACGCATTTCAGCTATACTAGTACATTGTACAAGTCACAAGACCATAAAACAGTGTTTATTACAAATAATAATTATTATTATTACTGGACATAATAAATAATAAATCATTGTTAGACAAAATACAATTATCACAACAATGTCATTTAATAGTGCACTAAATAATAATTATAAAACAAGTATCCATTTAATTCAATTATAAAATATGTATTTATTTCTTACCTACATCATTGGTACCATCATAAGACTTGGCATCAAGCAGTATAAAAGTGCACTCTAGAACAAATAAAATCATTTTAAATCAAAGTACACTATTAAGCAAAAAGAAAAAAAACAACAAAAACATGAAGTTAACCAACTCACATTTACATGCACAAATGTATGAGTTAACTTGAAATCTTTCTTTTCATAATTACTGAACTTCTACATTACTGACATTAAAATTATCAACCTCATTTAAGAGCATATTAACCATCAAATGTTTTATCCACGCTCTTTCCATACATTAATATGTGCATCGTATCAAACACTTGCACACACAAACATGTTATTCATCAATTCTTACTGTCATCATCTTCAAACCATGACTGCTGCATTTGGTATTCCTGATCCAGATTCAGAGGTTCAGAGCCAGTTAATTTCTGCAATTCAGCTGACTGCATCCACCCATGATACCTAAAGAGAAAAAATAGAACATTTCTTATGATCTACATATACACAATTTCTTTGAACTATATTCCAAATAATCCCCCTCCAGCATTTTATTTACTTTTTCTACATTTGTATATTTACTATTGAGCAACAGTCTGAAAGAGATAACAATTTTATTGGTTGGTGCAGTAAGAAGGGGCAGAAAAATGGGAAGCCGAGCCGAGCGTGCATGTAACGTTATGTCAAATGATTTGTCAAATGGCTAACCGATTTCGATCTGCTTTATTGAAAACGCGAGGTCAGTTATCACTACATAGACCACTTATATTTTATCCCCTTACGAACATCAGATAATTCCGCTGTGGTTACATACTTTAAAACGTGTTCCTTTGTGTAAGGCACTAAAACCACACGGTTACCAGGAATACACGTGTCTTTGTTTTTCTTCATCCTCGAGCTGCATGTGGCCTTTATTTCACCTTGACCTCTTTCTCCAAAAATGCTTAGTGTAAACCTAAAAGTCCAATATGTTCATCATTTTATCAAAAGCAAAAATACACTCGAAGTCTAGTATTACTTAAAGTATTTGTTATTATTAATTTTATTAACTTAAATATTATTTATTTTCAATTCTTTGGCAGTAAAAGAAAAGAAAATGTTATTATTTTAGCATGGCTTAAGCGTGCCACGTTGGTCATGAGGACCTGACTAGCTGACACATGATGAACAGAAACGGGGAAGATTATCCATTTTAATTGTTAAATATACAGTATGTAAGAGTAATTGCACACATACAGTAGTGAGGTGAGTTGGGAAAGTATCAGCCGATAGAAAGGCGCAACGTCCAGGCTACCTACCGGCACGTTAATACATCAGTGTGAGGGGAGGGACTTGAGCCTTCGACTTGGTTTCTTGAATCTAGGGACCACCGAAGTAAAATAATGGCTGGGGATGTCACAGATACCGGGACTTTGTATTCGCCCGCAGTAAGTTGTGATATTTATTTAGATTTTATCCTTTTGAAAATGTATTTATTAAACAACCGAATTTATATTATTATTATTATTATTATTATTATTATTATTATTATTATTATTATTATTATTATTCGAGAGGGCCTTTAAAGTTCTCCAATTACAGCTAGTCTGAGTCAGTTTGAAATGTTAATTTTAAATGGTACAGTTGAACAGTTTGTGAAACATGTTGTCATGTATTTTGTATTTTATTTATTTCATTTTTCTGGAGGTGTTCAATTTATGTGTCACTATATAATGATCGACTGTTACCACTGCATCAGTAATTTACACTGCAAACACATTGAAGTTATCATGAAGCTGGTGTCCATTTGTTCTAGGTGGGCTTGGTGTATGTGTTCAACTTGATAGTTGGAACAGGTGCTTTGACAATGCCGAAAGCATTCAGTGGTGCAGGGTGGCTGCTTAGTCTTATCATGGTGGTCTTTCTGGCATTTACAAGGTAAGATTGGCAAGTAAAGTACATCTAACACAGTAACAGACTTTATGCATTGACGAGTTAACATATACACGGCAGATTTGGAGGGGGGAGGGCACAGGGGAAAATGTATCTCCTCCTCCCTTTTAAGTTGAGCTTTGAAGTTAATCCCACTTCTCTCTCCCTCCACTTCCCCCCCCCCCAAAAAAAAAGATAATAATTGTGTCAATAATAATAATAACAAAATAATTAGAAAATCAAGCAAATTTCCCATTCCTGTGTCACAAAACAGGAGAATTTTCTATGTCTGCTAGTTTACAATTTCCTTCTTATTTGTAATAGATGAATGCTGAAACAATCTCATATGCATATACATGTATGTATGCATCTATACTGGTATTATATGCATATTTTATTTACATTGTCTGCCTCTTGTATATATACTAACAAGAACATGATATGTAATTTACTGTACATACTTGCATTTAATTTTACAGTTATCTAACTGTGACATTTGTGATTGAGGCCATGGCATCAGCTAATGCAAGAATTAGGTGGAAAAAGTTACAAAGCTTAAAGCGAGTATGTATTGCATACTTAATGTTCAGCTTGCTATTTTACCTAACATTTGTTTGACTTAAAATGTTGATTGTTAGACTTACAATGTTGATGTTTAGCATTTTGTTGTTACTTCATGTTCACCAACATCATGAATGAAATTAAAGGGACAAAAAATAGGATTAAAAACGCCTTTTTAGTGCATGGATTGCTTCCTTTTTAACTTATCTGAGAACAATTGCTATGGGTAAAGCATAAAATGGCAGGTAAATGGCCTTAATCAATATCGAAAAAAAGAATCGTATTCACCGTCCACTTTCGAACCCCGGGCGTCAGCCATCTTGACACAGTTTGAAATAACGCGGCTTCTCGACTCAGATACGAGATGTAAACAATGCAGCCAGCATGTCTCACTCGACTGCGAAGGTGAGCGTGGGCGAGAAGAAGAGGAATTGTTCACAGAATCTTTGCAGGTAAGCGAGTTATAGTCACTATATGTGCTTTAGAATGGGAAGGTGGCAGTGGAAATAAAAATATCTAGCAGTGGAAGTTTAAAAGCGTAGATAACTGCTACATTTCCTCGGATAACGCACTCGCAGTCCCCAAACCACTCGCACTGCGTACTACGTGGTTACATGAAGCGTGGTAGTGCACTTTG